CATTTCTACGATCTGACACCAGACACCCCGAAAGGCAAGTTATCATACAATTTGATACCTTTCTTATTTGTCTCAGGACTTTCAATGTCAAGATCCCACTTATCGGGAACTGAGAGCCCGGCATCAATATGATGCTTGTTCAGAAGGATCGAGATCCCGTCGCGGTACAGCCAAGGGTCGTTCGTTCTTCTCTGCCAATCTTCCAGCCTGGTCCTCAGCTCATCGAGTACATGCTGATGATCAGGATCCTTGGCTAGATTCTTCACCTCATTAGGATCCACTGTGAGATCGTACAATTCCTCCGCAGGACGGAAGAAGTAGTCTTTCAGCAGTCTTTGCCCAACCTTCTTCGGACTCTCTTCGGCATTGCGGATGTCTTCCCATGTGAGTGAGCCGTAGATATCATTGGCAAAAGGAAAGTCAAGTCTCCATGCAATATTGCGATGATACTTGTATCGTCTCGTTCGGATGTACCTCGTGGGCCAGTAATTCGTCGACTCATGAAAGGTGTGGGAACCAAATACGTGGTCCCATCCAGGAAGCTCCCGACCTTCACTAATGATGTCTAGGAACGATCGACCCGCAAGTCCCGCCTTGGGTGCTTCCGAGTTTTGATCAAGAATCCAATCCAAAATGGTGGGTAAAACATCGACATAAGACACCAGGTTGGGATTCACAGCCGGTGAAGATCCAGGCTGCTTGATGATGAGAGGGAGGCAGACCCCAGCATCGTAAAGAGTCGTCTTGGAGTTCAAGAAAGGAGGGCCATTGTCGCTGATGAAAATGACCAGAGTGTCATCGGCGAAACCAGATGCTTCAAGCTCATGAAGGATCATGCCGATGCCCTGATCCAGACGGCTAATGGCCTCAGCATAGCCTGCAAGCTCATGTCGAACACCGGGTGTATCTGAGAGGAAGCCTGGGACAACCATGTCGTTGGCATGATACTTCACGCTGTTTATCCGCTCGTCGACCGGCTCATCATTGCCAAAGCCGCCGCGGGTGCGATCGCGATGGGGGTCGTGATACCCAACGGTCAGTACAAACGGCCGCCCATCCTCTTTGGAGACCTTGAAGAACTCGGCCGCGCGTTGAGAAGACCACCACACATCCCTGGTCAGGCTCTCGGCCCTCCATTCCCAGGGATAAACATTGTCTGGACCGACGTGGATCTTCCCGATAATCCCGGTACGAACGCCAGCCTTGGATAACAAGGCCGGTCCAGACTCAATGTGATCGAATGTCATGAAATGGTGTTTGCCGCTGTTGAGTCCGTACTGGCCATTCTGGTGAGTGTGGAGGCCTGTGTAGAGGGTCGATCTTGAGCCGGAGCAAGAAGCAGTGCTTGCAAAAGCTTTGTCGAACCGTGTACCTTCAGCAGCAAGCTTGTCGATGTTTGGAGTTTTGATGTGGGGGTTTCCGTAGCAGCCAAGCTGCTTTCCCAAGTCGTCTGCCACAAGCAGGAGCACGTTTCTGGGGGCCATCACTGAGTGTGTTATTCCTGCTGTAGGTTTGGGAGGTGTGATAGCAGTCTCGTAACATTCAGTGGGATTCGCCTTTTGTAGACAAGCTGAATCAAGGGCTCCATAGAATTCATCGCGCGACAGACACAATCATTGCGCCATTGATAGCTGGGACACTAATCTTGACTCTGATTGATGCAATATCATTTTCCGTGTGCAAGATGCCGAACTTCCGGTGTTATTGCATCGCAAATCCTCCTTATACCTCTTCTGGCAAATGCTTACATCTAGTGTTCGAAGTTACCTTTCCCATGGCCAAGCTCGGTAGTCGGAACCGTGGAGCTTCTGCATGCTATTCCGCCCCAGAGGAAGTTATTCACATATGCCAGTGGAGATAGACACGTCGAGAAACTAGTGCATCGCATCATCTCAAGGGTGCAAAAGAACCAGTGACATGGAACGTGCTTGCCAGGGTATGAGCAGGCACTAGATATCTTCTAGTGATCCATCGCGTTGGATCTGGCCATCACGCAATTCTAGCTCGGCTTAATACTCGAGTTCAACCTTGCATTTGCTTTTCAACTCATCACTTATCATGATGGCGCATGTCTGCGGGCACCTCAGCTCACGGTGAGTCGAAAAAGTAGGAGAGGTTCATTTGAGTGTTAGCACCGCTCCAGTATCTTGAAAATACATCGCCCGTCTTACTCAAAGAGCATAGCCGACATCCAAATCCACTTCAGGCAGCCATTACTGAATACTTGCTGACCGAAAAATCCTGCGGAAGCAGGGCATGCGGCAATGCTATCCGATATGGGTCGTTGATTTTGGTCCCTCAATGTCGTGATCAGCGTGACGGCATTCTGTCCTCTGCGTGCAAGAGAAATGTGTTTAAAGCTGGGTATATCTTGCTTCGACTGTGTTTCGATCCTCGACGAGACGCCAATCTTTTGCTGCTAATTTGTATCTCGCGATGAAGTCTGCTCTTCTTGCCGCGGTTCTCTCTCTTTCAGGAGTCGCTGCTCAGCTCACAGGCCCCGTTGGTCCCACAACAGCCCTGAGTAAGAAAACAACGGAATGCAACATCTTGAACTACGGAGGTGTCAGCGATAACTCCACAGATGTGGCGGATGCAATTGAGAATGCCTACAAGAGCTGTGTTCTCGTTCACGCTGGCAGCCGTCTCATTGTCCCAGAGGGCAATTATCTTATCAAACGAACAGCTATCCTGTCCAATGGTACCAATTGGGCTTTCCAGCTCGACGGATTGATCACACTCGCTTATGGTGGCAATTGGACTGTTGATCGTGAGTTGATCCTACAGGGGTTCGCAGGGATTGAGCAGCTGAACGCGACAATCAACGGCGAAGGTGACGGCCTTTTCTTGCAGAATGGAATCACAATTATAAACGGTACATCTCTTAGTCACACCGCATTGAAGTAAGGCTGACTTCGGAAACAGCCGTCGACTTTGAATTCTATTCGCCAAACGGAAAAGGTGCAATTCAGGGTCAAGGGTACTTGTACAGGAACTCGGGGAAGTACGCCATTTACCAACTTGCCCGATGCATGAGTTCGAAGCTGACAGCGCTCTTCCAGCACGTTCCGTCCTCGACTCGTCCGCTTGATTTCCCCTATTAACACATCAGTCCATGATCTTATCCTCGTGGACAGTCCCAAATTCCACATTGTCTTCGATTTTGCTGTCAACCTTGAAGCCTATCACTTGACAATTCGAGGAGCGAACCTTGGTTCCTACGACGGGGTGGATGTTGTGGGAACGAACTACTGGATCCACGATATTGAGGTTTGTCCGCTCAACCATGACTGAGGTTCTTCGATCTCACTCATCTTTCTTCCAGGTCACCAATAGAGACGAATGTGTGTCGGTCAAAAGCCCTTCGAATCATGCCCTTGTCGAAAATCTTGTATTCAATCAAGCCGGATCTGGAATCTCAATCGGTAGTCTGAATGTGTCGGCATCTATCGCCAATATTGTAAGCGCTTGATCGTCTGCGTGCTTCTTGTAGCTAACAGGCTGTAGCATGCTCGCAACATAAGCATCATCCAAGGCAACAACATTGCTTTCATCAAGACTTATCCTGGAGGGTCGGGTTATGTTACGAACATTACCTTTGAGAACTTCCGTTCCAAGGCATCCTTGTACGGACTCGACATCAATCAGTACTGGCAAAACACTTTTGAGCCAGACACTGGAGCGGTTGCGCTTAGCAACTTAATTTTCAAGAACTTTTCTGGTGAGTCTCCCGCATGAATCAACTACTCCAGTAGTTCTAACAACACCGCTCTCAGGATCCGTTGCTGATGGCGCCAAACGCCCTCCCTTGTACTTGATCGCCAACGACTTAACGTATGCCACAAACGTAACTGTCGAAGGGTTCAGCCTCTGGACGGAGTCTGGCACATATGTTTTGAACAAGATCAGCAACATCTTTGGCAACAGCGACAACTCGTACGGGGTAGGAGACGACATAAAGTCACTCACGTCAAAACAGTCTCCAACGGCGTACACCAGCACCCACACCATCTCGACGACGCCCACTGGTTGGGCAATTCCTCCGTCGCCAACGTGGGCAGCGGCAAGCACAGGATATGGGAGTAAGTGAAGCTTTTCATCCAGCTCGTGCGTGATATGTTTGCTGATATCCTTCACCTTGTAGCTGATGTACCGATCCCCGTGTACACCCCGGCCCCTCTTTGGAAGCCCGAGGGAGATTATGACAAGCATTATTGGGGATCATTCTAAGGTCTGGAGCATGCGTATTGATCGGCGCCTCTGGGGGTAATTCAGTTTGCAGTCGTCAAGTCAAGGGTACAAAAACAATTGTGCTGAAGGGGCGATTTACTCCGCATACATGTGTTTCCTCATTCGTATAATCTTCGCCGTATTTGTGTCTCGTCATAGATAGGTGGCCACTGTTCTTTATCGCGATCCACGAGTCAAACACAAATCAACCCCGGAACTCCAGATTCCAGTAGATTGGTCTGAACAGCGATCTATCGTTTTGGCAGGGATGACCCCTGAAAAGAAAGACATCATCCCAAAGGGCTTCGCGCAATTGAACTGAGAGACTGACCATTGATCGAATCGCATCAAAGCCTCGGAATATGAACATGCGATGCAAAGGCCTGTTATCAGCATTGTTTGTGGACCTTTGAAGCTTCAAAAATCAGCTAATATTCATGATGTTTGAGCCTGATAGACAGTCACCTCCCTGACTCGCGAGGGTAGCCAGTCCCAAATCTATCTCATTTTCCTGCCTCTCTTATCTTAGTGTCAATTTTAGCGAGCTCAGGGTCCCCTGGCTCTGATATGGCGGGACGAAGAACACAAAAGCTTGTCTCCGGGCTCATCCGAACACCTCGACATCTATGACCTGCTTCCAGGCGAATGTTTCTTTCTTTGACAATCAAAATCTCGGCTACTCCTCGCAGAAAAACTCAAACTTCAGCATGAAAGTGGCTACCAGGACCAAACCCTGCGTCCTTTACGCCGTACCTCCTAGGGAGGGCCACATGCGGCCGGCACTTCAAATTGTCAAACACCTAATCACTAATGGATTCGACGTGACGATTTTGGGAACTCAGAGATGGAAGTTGACTATCGAAGCAACAGGCGGACACTTCAGTCCTATCATCGGACTCTGGGGCACGTTGGATGATCCAGATCGTTGGCCAAAGATCGCGCACGCATCGGACTCTGCGGCCCGTCTTGCCGCATCACTTGATGGAGGTTTTGTTTCACTACTGCCCAGTGGCCTTGAGTCCGTTCGATTCGCGCTTGCCGGTATGCGCAGACGTCAACCGGATTGCGGAATCATTGTTCTTTCGGACACCTGCTTTTCTGGCACATTGGGCCTGAAGTTGGGGACTGACTTACCGGAAGGCTTCAACAAAGGCGAAAAGATCAAGACAATAGGAGTTGGCGTGGTGCCGACATTTTGGTCGAGTGCTGAACGACCGCCGTGGGGGACTGGGCTGCCATTCGACGACAGTGAGGCAGGAAAGAAACGGAATACCGACATTTTGAGAAAGACATGGAACGCCGATGCGGAGGAGCGAGCACAATGGGTGCTGGGAATAATGGGCTGCTCTAAGCCCATTGAATCTCTCTACGATAACATCTCAACGACCGTCGAACACCCTTTTTGGGATGCGTCAACTATTTGTCACGACGTCACGCTACAGATGTGTTCACCGAGTCTTGAATTTCAATCAACCGACTGGCCCAACCGAATCAAGTTCGCAGGAACTCTGCCAATCAAGCCACTGCCAGCCACGCTCTCATATCCAGCTTGGTTTGACGACATCATTTCGAATAGTGCTTCCTTGCATAGGTCAAAGTCAGACAGGAAACGAATTGTGTTCGTGGCCCAAGGAACCGAGGTTCTGGACCATGGAGAACTTATTCTTCCCACGATAAAGGCTCTTTCTGAAAGCGATGACGTATTCGTTGTTGCTTGTCTCTGTGTTGCCGGAGCTAAGCTCGACACTAGCAGCTTGCCGGATCAAGTTTTACCTCGCAATGCTCGAGTCGTCGACTATTTTCCCTATGATGCAATCTTAGCGCACGCGGACGTCTTTGTTTCCAACAGCGGGTATGGAGGTTTTCAACATGCGGTTTCCAACGGCGTTCCGATGGTGCAAGCTGGTAATACGTTCGACAAACCCGACATCGGCAGGAGGATTGAGTGGTCTGGACTAGGAGTATTCCTGGAGAATTCTCCTGTTACAGTCGAAGCTGTTGGCAAGGCCCTGGCAGAAGTCCTGGCCACTGACACGTATAAAACGAGAGCGGAAGAGTTGAGGATAGAGGCTGGAACATTCGATCCCTTAAAGAAGGTTGAAGACGAGATAATGGCTTTAGTTGAGTGAACTGAAGGGAATAACGCAGGAGAAGAGACTCAAAGCCCATAACTACCGTATCTAGACCGTTCTTCTACTAATGCTGACACACTCAGTTACCGAGAGGCAATTGCCTTAAATTCCAATCAATATGTTCAAGTCATCAGAATGATTATTATTACTGCACACGAGAGAGCCAAACTCATTCTTGATCACGATCCTGCTAAGCTCTAGGGATTCAGATTGAGAAGTTGCCCTGCTGGTAATTATCGTACGATATTTGACCGTCACCCTCACATACTCTGGTGGACCCGACTGAGATGGACTAAGAAACCATGCGACTGAACTTGTCAAAATGCACTGTTTCCCATATCATACGGTCCTAAGTGAATGAAATACCCATCGTGAGCGTCGGAGAAGGGGATCTGTCGTAAGGTTGTTGCCGTGACATCCGGGGCGGCCCAAAAGGCCGCCAATGCCATTATTGAGTTAGCCTGGAAATACATCCGGTCGGGGTTTAAGACCGCGGGCGGGGACACCGAGCTCGGGATCCGATCTGGGGCAATTGACTGTCGGTCGGGGAGTGGAGCGGTCGGGGCAGTCCGGTTTCAAGCAAAGACGGCTTCGGAATTGGCCAAGGGGTCTGTCAGTGATACCGAAAGCGAGTGACCATCATCGCCATGGCTGTCTTCAAAGGAGTCGTATGGAACGTGCTAAAAGCAGTGTTGCAGCTTGCTTGACGTGCGTCTCTTGAGCTATGGTTAATCTGCTTCCTGCTTCATTGCTAGACGGGGACACGGCTGAGGAGATTTTGAAAGAAGCCTTATTTGATTCTTTCTCTTCATCTATGGTAGCTGGGATGAAACCAGTAGTCGGCCTATTTACATTTCTGGGCTTCTTTGCTGTTAGATGAGCTGTACAAGGAGCGTTGGACTGACTTCTGCCCGGCATTACCGTGGCCGCTCGCTATTTCAGAGCTTAGCAAAGCACTTGACAGCCTATTTTTGGTAACCACAGCTCAGCGGCACTGGCACTGCCAAGCGCTAGTCATTGAAAATGTTGCAGGAGGTACGTTGAAAAAAATAGCTTAAGCTTTCTGACATTATTATTGCTGACTCGCCTGTATTGCGACAACTCCAGCAAGAAGAAAGAGTGGGCCAGCAAGAAGGGATGGCATTCTACGGGAATTCGTTGATCTACAGTCAATACCGTACTAGGCATTCATATTTCTAGTTGCTCATTTCAGCGTTTTCGAAAATGTGAATTACCTTCGTTCCTCATCACACTCATTTTCTTACCCACCAGTCATTACAGTATAATGCATTACACCACAGTCATTACCCTCTCCATCGTACTGGGAGCAGCTGCCGGGCCCTTCCGCATGCAGCCCCGAGCCAACGACACCAGCGTCAACAACAACACTACGTCGATCACCCCGCCCACCAAAGTTCCGTATGGCACCGTCATTAGCAGCTGTACCGTCGAGAATACCTTTGCTCTCACCTTCGATGACGGCCCGTTCAAATACACCGATCACGTTCTCGACCTACTTGCCGAGGCTCAAGTCAAAGCTACCTTCTTCGTAACGGGCAGTCTCCTGGGCGATATCAGGAACGATGAAAACCGAGCTAGAATTAAGCGCATGCTCGACGAGGGCCACCAAGTCGGCCATCACACTTGGAGTCACGCCGACCTTGCCACGACTGACGATAAGGGCGTGGTTGAGCAGATGACCAAACTTGAGGATGCCTTCTTCGACATTATGGGAAAATGTCCGACGTACATGCGCCCTCCTTACTTCAGCTGGAGCGCTGCGACTCTGTCCATCATGAAGGATCTCAAGTACCATGTCATCCGTGCTGATATCGACACCAACGACTGGAAATACAACTCATTGGGGAACCTCACAGGCCTGGATCTCTTTGAGAACGGCGTGGAAAATGGCGGCACCCTTACTTTGTGCCATGATGTAAGTCAACCACGGAGATCCGACGATGTCGAGGAACTGCGTATCTAACAAGCTGCAAGGTTCAACAAAACACCGCTGAGTTTCTGCTTCCTGAAATTCTTCGAGTTATGAAAGAGAAGAACTTGAAGGGAGTTCCTGTTGGCGAATGTCTCGGCGATCCCGAGGGCAACTGGTACAGGACTGATCGCATCCTTCCGGCTACGGCGCCATGAACATCCCAGAGCGGTCAACTTTGTATGATCAGTTCGGAAATTTCCTTAGTCAACCAAAAGAGAGCCTTATGATAGACGAATGTACATGGGGTTGTTTTTGGTTATGATGAGCCGTCATGTACCCTTTTCCGAGAGGCTCGCGCACCTCGATCGGTGGTATTGCTAAGCAAAGATGATTTTTTCTCTCATTCAACCTTGAGTGGCTTCAAATCCTCCGACTTTTCGTAGACGCTCTTGCCTTTTCCATCCAGTACCTCCTGCACATATTCTTGGAACGGAATGAACCCAATGTCCGGGTATAGGTCCTTCGTGTTCAAGTAACCCAAATACTTCGCGTACTCGGGGGTGTTGTCTCCACGGATAGCCCAAGAATGCCAGTACTGAAAGCGGATCAGTTCGTAGAACTCTGGTGACTCCGGCCCCAGGTTAGAAGCCTCCATCTGAGCGACCCCGGCCTTGATTGCCTCAACCGATATCTGTTGACCGTTTAGTCACGATGCTGCGGCTTTTCGACTGAACCGAACTTACATGGTTTCTCTTGACCTTCTCCCCGCTCATCTTCTCCAACAAGTCATACACTTGGTTCTGAGTGATCAACTCGTTGTAGGCAAAGACCATGTGATTCAATGTGCGGGGGTCTGCAATGATCCGAGCAACATATGTCCCAATGTCACGCACATCAGTGATAGCTGACAGCATGTTTCCGTCCCCTCCAATTCCATCAGTTACCAATGTGGTTGCGTAATCGATGCGACCGGATGCAAGACGCGGCAGCGTGATTTGGTACCACCAACCGACATCGATTGTCGTGTACGGCAGGCGCACTTTCTTAACATGATTCAATACATCCTCTTTCTATTACTCACGTTAGCTCCAGACTGATCTATCGAGTTGCCGAGTCAGCATGCTCAACTCACGATATCTCTCAGCTTCAGGATGCCCTTGGGAGGGACTATGGTGGCGAAAAAGCAAGGAATAAATCGGCCGACACCAGCCGCTTTGGATGCATTAATCAGAGGAATCTGAGCCATCAGATTGCCAGCATTGATGGCAGAAATCATTACATCTGTGCCTTTGAGGATCTCCGTGAGCGCATCTTCGGGACCCTCAAGATCAGCGGCGACGACGTGGATGCCTTTTTTCTGGAGGTCCAGCACCTCGGGCTTTTGCAGTGAAGCAGGACGAGTGAGAGCCATGATATCCTGACCATGAGTTAGTTGCGTAAATCGTGAGGTTTTCGCAGGAATCACCAACATATTTGGGCTCGGTCGACTTCAGGAGGCCGTCGATGATGGACTGGCCGGTCTCGCCCGTCGCGCCGATGATGCTAACTCTCATGGTGAGCGGTTGTGTGACACTTTGATCTTGGGACTTTGCAGATTGATGCGATGACACCGATTGAGAAATTGGGACATCAGCGTGTATTTATCTTCACATTACAGTACCATGTCATTTGAAGCAATGAAGTTCCGTCAATCGGCCGATACCACAGTCAACTTCTTGTAGCTTTCGCCGCAATGACTGTTCACCAAACTTGGCGGCTCAAGCGTCGATCAGCACCCCGCTACTGAGACAGCGGCCATTCCCAAAGTCTACGACTGGCTGGATTTAGAGTACAGGACTAGGCTAGGGCCGTCGCGGATCAATAGACGCCTGCCATTGATGTGTAGAGTTATTTCTACGGGTTGATGTAGAGGTCCGTATTCCTGCGAATACGAACCAAATCGCACCCGTCTTTGTCCGTGTGTGGAAGGTTGGCGTTCCCTCTGCTTGACGCGAAATGACTTTACAGCACCTCTAAGGGGATAAAACACGGTTGAAAAAGTCGTACAATTGCGCTCAACGGGTAGAACTGGATCCAAAGTATAACAGAAAGTTGGCAGCCAATACAATGCATAGTTCGTCTATTAGACGGGTACGCGTGCCGTGGATCGCGCGGAAGGCGGTCGTTTATACCTGCTACCGACTGCGCATTGGCCATGGCGATCCCACTCGCGGACTTTCTTCTTTTCGCGGAGTCCGCTTAAGTCGGGATCCTGGCGGACAGCGACGTCCAAGGGGTTCTTGTAACGTGGGGCTCTGGAAACCGCTGTTGACGCGTCTGATGAGTTATTTGATTTGACCTCGGCTAATAACGGGAAGCCCAACTGAATCATTATTGAATCAAATCCAACAGCATCAAGCTGCTTTCGTTACTGTCTATAACCAAACTTTCTTTTACTGGTTTCGAGTTTGTTCTCACTGAGTCTATAGGTGTCTCTCAGCCAGCACCTTGAGAAGATCGACATGCGGTTCCCTCACACCGCGCCAAAACGCCGCGGCGTCAAGTCCTTTCAGATTGGTGTATCCTTTCTGTTCGCCCAGATTGCCGCCGGCAAGACGACACCCTGCTCCAAGGAGAATTACTCCTTTCCCAACCTGCATGGCGCTCAACTATTGTCGATCACTACTTCGATTTTGAATGGCTTCAAACCCCAGGCCGCATTCTTACCGGAAGCTACTCTGGTCACCGAGGATGGTGTGCAGGCTTGTAATGTGACAATATCATACACGCATCCCGGCCACAACGACGATGTCACTGTTCAGCTTTGGCTACCCACGTCCAACTACAATGGACGCTACGTTGGCGTTGGAGGAGGCGGTTGGTCCGCTGGAGAAATGGCTGCCGACATCAGATCCGCCCTAGCGTCACAGGGGTATGCAGTCGCAACCACGAACGCGGGCTACAACCACAACATGTTTGCAACTGCCGATACCTGGCTCATGAAGAACCCAGGGAACTTGGAGTATCCATTGATTGTCAACTTTGGGCACCGAGCTCTCCACGACATGACCGTCATATCCAAGCACATCATCCGTGAAGCCTACGGGTCACTTCCCAAGTTCTCTTACTGGCAGGGTTGCTCAACTGGTGGCAGGCAGGGTCTCACAATTGCTCAGCGATTCCCCGAAGACTACGATGGTCTCCTAACAAGCTGTCCAGCAATCAACTTCTCGTCGCTTCTGGTGGCGATGTACTGGCCGCAATTCATCATGAACCGGAAAGGCATCTACCCTAAGGCATGCGAGTTTGAGGCAATTGTTGCTGCGTTGGCCGAGTCCTGTGGTAAAGCTGCAGACATTGAATCATGCGGTTTCGATCTTGCATCATTGACGGGAACTACTGTCGACTGCCAAGGAAAGTCAACGTCCATTTCAAGCACGGCTGTGGAGGTCTACAAGGCATTGCTCCAAGGCCCGGTTGACCTTGAAGGAAACCAGCTATTTCCGGGCGTCACCGTTGGCACCGCAGTTACCGGTATGATGTCGATCGCCAACACTCACTGCGAAGGAGAGACTTGCTCTGGTGGACGGCCTTTCACAATCGCCGACGACTGGATCCGACTCATGGTGAAGAAAGACCCATCATTTGACCCGACGAAGATGACGCATGCCGAGTACGTTCAAATATTCCGAGACAGCGTCAACGAATGGGACGGTGTGTTCAGCAGCAACAACCCCGACCTTCAACGGTTCCATCAACTGGGCAAGAAGATGATCAGTTGGCATTCCGTGAATGATGAGGCTGTTCCTGTCAAGGCTATGCGGCAATACTACGATCGCGTTCTGGCTCTCGACAGGTCTCGTAATGTCTCGACTCAAGACTATTACCGCTATTTCGAGGTCCCTGGAGCCACGCATTGCGTAGCACCTGCTGGAGTTCCGTACCCACTGAAGGCACTTGATACTCTGAGATCATGGGTTGAGGATGGGACCGCCCCAGAAAGCCTGCCTGCAGTCGCTCTTGGAACGGAGAAGGTCGAGACGAAGTCTGAACCGCCCATCTGCGTCTATCCTAACAAACCGCTGTCTGTGAAGACTGGATATTCATGCGAAAAGACTGCAGTGGTGGCGAATGGAGAAGGAAACCATGTCAAAGACGAACTATGAAGGTTTTGTCGCAATATCTAGGCATACAGCGCAAATGTTAAAATTCATACCCAGAACTCTGATAATCTAAGACTGTTCAGATAGTATTATGATGCACACAATGGTGCATATATGTATGGGGTCGCGATTCCGAGCCCATGCTGGGAGCTGTCTACCACATATCCAGAGGGTTTGTGGCGTTGTCCGGTCTCTCCTGCATAACGTCCCAATGCTCCTGAATGCACGACCCGTTGAAGCGGAATAGATCAACCACCGCTCTCGGACGTGGCTCTCCAGCAATGTCCATTCTCAAGTATACAAAAGCCAAGTCCCCATCAATACCACTGAATGTGACGTTGAACTTCACCGTCTCCGGTGTGACAAACGACAATGCTTCGATCGAATTGTTGAGACCCGAGAGTGCATAAGGGTTGTGCTGGATGTAGTCCTCTGCCATGTGGTCGATGAGGGCTTGGGTGGCGTTCATGTCGGTATAGAGCTTTTGGTAAAACTCGGCGAGAATAAGTCGCTGCTCGCTTGGGCTCGCAGATCTAGGAGGGCAGTAGACCGCTTGCGCAGAGACCGTAAGAGCCGCGAAAGCCGTGGCGAAGGTGGTGATGTTGATCTTCATAGCGACTGCGGTCCAAAAGTTCAAGTTTGAATGAGTAAAACGATGAGGAGGTTGATTCGCCGCCAACCTCCAACTCCAGCGCGGATTTCCCTAAGGTATTTATCAATTATTTTGACATGTTCAGCATCTCATATCATGATAGAGATATACTCTTAGTCAAGTCGCGTTTTTGATTCCGACTGTGAAGTGGAACCGGCTAGATGGCCAAGTCGGACTACCGCGGGATTCGGAGCATTCCAGCAACATTATTCGCTCGCGCAACCTCGTCGTCACCTGGCTCCGCAAGCGGTTCGAAGAAGCTTCAACCGCGCGCTACGCACGTGCCATTTTGTCATTTAAACGCAGAGATCTAGAGATGTGTTGCTTACGGAATGCTTCATTGACAAGGAGGCGGTATTTGTAAAGGCGGACTCATATTTCTCACTGGGGCCCTTCAATGAGGTTACGCTGCGCCTCGATGGTGGATGGCTCCGAACTTCCAAGGACTCTTTTCAACGAAAAATGAGAACGGACTCCGGAAGTTGGCAGTACATGGTTGACAGGTATTTAATAGGAGATGTCTGTCTGCCCGGAAACAACTTCCGTGACACTTATTCCAAATCTTGTTACTTGACAACCAATTAAACCGTCCCAGTATTTACATCAGACACCATGAGATCATTCTACGCCACAATTGCCTTTTTCGCATCAACAATCACTGCACTACAAGCGGAACAAACACAGCCGGCATCGTACTGCCCTCCTCGGCCTGCAACGGCCGAAGAGCAGAGAGCCATCTTCGAGCAGGCAGTTCAGACCATTATCGTCGACCAACAATACACCGAGGGTGTCCCGAGACATTATGATGAGGGCTACATCCAACACGACCCCTTCCTGCTTTCCGGCAGGCAGAACGTCCTCGACTACCTCGCCAACTTTGATCCCGACTCTGTCAACTTCACCGTCATCAACAAGGGAATCGACAACAACCGTGCTTGGATCTTTCAGCGCGTCGAGCAGGTCGGCAGTGGGCCACTTGGGTGGGTGGATCTATGGAGGATGAACGGCACTTGCATCGTTGAGCATTGGGGAGTCAGCATGCCAAAGCCGGCCGACGCTATCAACCCCCTGCCATTGTGGTAGTCATGCAACAGGCCTGAAGCTCGATTTACTAGCTTCCTAAGTCTTATATAGAGAATTGTATACGACATAGGTGAACAGCACATTGGAGTACATGAAAAGCTCTTCGTCATGCTCGATGTCTTCAAACCCGGCATTCCATGAGTGCCTCGTCATATAAATAACTCAGTACTTTGAGCTTGTTATTTATCAAATGAACCAGTGCGCATGTATAACTGTTTGATGTCTTGCGAGGCCTACAAACATCTAATATATTGACGATCCTTGAAAAGACTTTTTGGTCCTCATGGTCCTAAACATGCCGAATTTGAAACCGCTCCATGGCCTCTGAAGAGTGAAGACTACCTACATATCTAGTTGAGACTCATGCAGCACTCGTGCATCAATCCTAGGCTGCCTCCACCTTCCAGCCACCAGGCATCAAGTTGGTGAAGATAAGATCTGGATCGTACTTGGCGCGAACATCCTTCATCTTCTGGAGGTTGTCACCGGCATATCCCTGGAAGACAGGCTGACCGGCACCAGCATAGTTCAGGTACAGAAACGGAGACATGACGTCGCCCAAGGCATTGATCTGCGACGTCACGTTGGTGTCGAAGTCAGTGAGAAATTGATCGATCTTGGCATCGTCCGAGGCCTCTGACCAGACAACAGTTTCTTCGACCAGGATGTAGGTCCCCTGGGTGGCATCCACATCCATAGGGTCGCCACCGTTAGCGGTAGACACACTCAAGAAGTGCTCGGTGACAGGGACAAAGGCAAGACTGCCAATGACGTTGGTTACCCCCGAAATCTGAGTCTTCATCATGTCCAGAAACACCTCGTGCACAATGTCAAGGGCTTGGCGGTTAGCCTTGATGGTAACGACGTGGAACGCACTCCTCAGGCCAGAGAGCTGACTCCGACTAGAGTCCGCGAACTGTGTCCAGTTGTACATGGAGGGTCTTACGATGAATGACGAGCTGATAGGTTCCATCGTTTGAGTGAAGTTGATAAGGGCAGGCGGGTTGGTGGTGTTGCCGTTGTTGAAAAGAATGGAGTAGTAGCTTGGGTCGGGGTACAACGACGGGATCCACTGGACTCTGGGCTCGATTCCAACGCGGGAATCACTGGAGCCGTTGAGAGCAAAGCTATAGATGCTGTCGAGAAACTGCGCGCTCGAGCTCGGGCTGTACTGGTTCTCGCCAACCGCAACCTCGGGTAGAGAGAAAGTCTTGAGGTGGAAGCCAGTGACAATTGCAAAGGAGTTGCCGCCGCCGCGGAGTGCCCAGAAGAGGTCGGAGTACTCGTTTGAAGCGGTCGCAGATACAATATCGCCATTACCGAGAACGCACTATAGAAGGAAAATTAGCCAACTGAGTCTACAAGGGGTATTTCGCTCAAGCATCATCGAACGATGTTTTGAGGAGGCGGCCGGGGTCGATACAGGGAGAGTTAGACGTACGTCATACTGGACAACATTCGCAGAGGCCCACCCGTTCTCATTGCTGAAGAACGAGATACCTCCCCCGAGGAGGAATCCGGGCACACCGACCAAGCCTTCCCAGGTTAGTCACCCACAGCGTATCCATGCGGTCAGGGACATTCACTCACCAGCTCGTCCACCAACAACGGCGAGCTTGTATGGCTCGAGGAAACGGTAAACGTCCGACCATGTGTTTCCCGCACCGACCTCAATAATGGACTCGTCGTCGGAAAGAATCAGCTTGCTCAAACCAGACGTGGCGATTAGCACACCAGGCGCGTCGATGTTGGCGGCATTAGCGATGGTCATGTGTCCGCCACCTCTGATTGCAAACTGTGTGTTGGTGCCGTTGAAGATTCCCACAATGTTGGACATTTCTTGACTAGTTGTGGGAGCAACAACGCAGGAAGGGGACAGATAAGCAGCAGCGTTGAAGTAGTCTGTTTTGTTTGATTAGTATGTTGAACCAGATCTGACACGTCGATGATATGCAGGTATTGAAGGACGCATGGAAAGAACCTGAAAGTGAACTGGGATGTTTAGGGAGACGGACCTTGGGTTGCGTTGGTATAGTTGTCACTACCTGGCAGGGAGGTTATGGCGCCAAGAGTCTGCTGGAGAGTATCGCAGGCAGACGAAGTGTTTTGCCCCAGGCTTTGGGCAGTCGCAGTGCTCATAAGAGCGGCAAGCACCAACTTGGCTGAAGAGGAGCGGAGAGCCATCATGACGAGATCAAGATTGGTCGAGTATGGGTAACGGTAAGTTGCAGGTTACTAGGTAGAAAGGATGAGAATGATGAAAGATCAGGAGTCTTTGTGAAGGCTTCTCGTTGGTTCTTATACGAATGCCGCGCAGGCAGACTTTCTCATTTCAGGTCCATCTCGTGCCGACGTTCATTGCGCTTTGAGGCTTCATGATCCGCTACAGCCGGCCTCGTAGTGTCCCGACAACGATGACTCCTATACGAAAACCCGAGGTCTGGTTCCGCAGCTGGTTCAAAATTGATCTATGAGTCTTCGTAGCATCACAGCCTGCTGGATATTACAGTCAGCTAGCCTAGTCAAACTTAAATACACTATTGTCTTTCCGAGCTACCCAGCTAATGACATGAAAAGGGGTTCTATCCATTGGCATACCGATCTCATCAACCCAAATGCCCTGTTTGTCGGGCCGACAGTGAATGAACGTGTACAAGAAGCTCATATTCTAAGTCTAATGGCGCAGGAAAAGCCCCGAAAAAGATTTAGCCGATTGGACCCTCCGGCTGCGCCACACGATTCCTGCGTAGTGATTGCAGCGCGTGACAGCCTCATTTCAGGCAGGTATACTGGCCCGATTCTCATATGCTACTGAGGCTCGCATTTGCCCCGTAGGATAGATACCATGTGGGTTCTCATGTGATAGTTTGCAAGGGCTAATAGGCTAGGTAGCTAGTGTCCTCGCAAGATATATAGTACAGTAGGCGAGAGCAACCCCAAGCCAAGGCGTTCGCTTTACGGTATCATCTTGTGGCCAATTGGATTATTGAGAAGAGACAACTAGAAAAAAAGGGCCAACATAAGGAAACCATGCGGGCGAGGACAATAACGACGCTACGGAGATGTAGCATCACCTTGCATGCTTAAACAGAAGCCTCGCGAAACTTGGCGACGAATCTTCCACATTTTTGTTGTTGTGGACGGCAGTGTTGAACTTCCTGATCGCTTGTTAATTCAGGGGCTGACGGCATCTCGATCTTGGGGGTCGGTTAGTGGGGCCGCCTGGTGAACTACGCAGCCCTCGTTTTCGTTTTCGTTACCGAGCCCAGAGATGAAACCACCGCGGAAGCAAGTACGGATCCAGCCGAGTACTCAGCTCAGTAGGCGTGCTTCTGATATTGAGCTCGACGGTCAGCTTCACAATGGGGCTTTGGTTACATTCCGATGACCTTCGGCATAAATGCTCCTATGATGATATCCCCTCCAGCTTCTAGGACGCAGCCGGGTCGGCAATTGCAGCACGGCATGCATTCTACGATGCTCGACGCTCGAGATGACTGAAGGTCGGAGACGGGCTACTGCCTTGAGCCTAGTTGCTTCCGACTCTGCGACTCTGGAGTACTGAGCTATAACTACAAAGTACGCCACAACCCTTCGAAGAGGTTCTTCTTGAAACGCCACTTCTTTGAGTGCGAACCTCTCAACAGTCTGCACATATGTCTTCTCCATCTTTATTGTTGACAATACAGACGGGGCTGACGAGACAGTTGATATTTGGGCACTCAGAATCATCTCATCGAGACTTCGCTCCTTTGGCGTCGGGGTTATGTCACTTTTAACTAACATGAAGGTATTGGAAAAGGGCGATGTCGGCACTCTTACACCCAGACGTTTTCCAGTTCAAGGAGGGACTCTATTCTCTGTAACTCTTTAGCATTCAAACCACGTTTGGTCCGATGCACTTCCTCATGAGGTAATACCACAAACGATATCTCACGACCATTAGCTAAGTATGCAACATCCGATATCATGCGAGTGAGCGTGACAAAGGCCCTCTTATGAACCTGGATCATTTAATGGCGGACGTAGATAGACCAAAAACACAGATTTCAAGATTGGCGAAAATCTCGATTGGGTGTGACTGGGCTCAAGAGGTAGCAGACAATATGATGTTATGTCCTTTTATGTGGCGTTTATGAATGCTTTTCTCATTAAGTGGAAAAAGCCATCTGTCTATGTCCTAGGTCGTGTTTTCGTCCAGGTGCGCAGCTCATTGCTGGTCTTGAATTGCCGGCTGCCAATTATCGGTATAAAAGGGGTTCCTAACGCATTTTTACAATTCCCCTATTCTTTTTTAATTACATTACAACAATATTCATAGCCCGACTGTCACATTTATCACGATGAGAGACAGCCTTCCTGCAGAACTCAAGACTCAAATCCTTCAGCATATCATTGCCCAACAGCCGAACTCTTTAGCACAATATGCTACGGTTTGTCGCGTTTGGCAGGATATCATCGAGCCTATCCTCTTCGCAGAAGTTACACTTTACGTAACAAGCACCAGCATTTTATCCAGAGGAACTACTGCTTCAACACTCGACAAGTACATTTCCGGGCAGCGGAAACGAGAGTTAAAAAAGCTGCGTCTAGTGATAGACTTCGACCCACTCGGTTTCCCAAACATCCCTATTGGCGCCTTCTCACGACGCCTTGAATTTAACGCTACATTTGTCGATATCATTGACTCCTTCGTCAATACGTTGAGCAAATGGAAAGACATGTCGTTCGACCTAGAGATCATCGAAACGAATTCCTGTTCCCGCGACCTCTTTCACCGTGGCAGCAACCTTCTACAACGACCTAAGAAATTGATTCAATGCGTACGTTCCATTAAACACCTGGAATTTAACGCCGAACGTTGTCACATTCGATGCTCGCACGGAGGGCTTCTGTCACTTCTCTGTTCGAGAATGTCCGACAATCTTACCGAGCTCCAATATGGCTTTGACCAGAAAAATCCCGATCTTGCGGAACTCTATCAGGATACCTGTAGTTTCGTGCCGAAAGGCGTGAAATCACTCATAATTCGCAACTTGGACCAGAGAGCTTGCCTGCGATTACGTGTTGATTTGAACGCCAAAATGGCACTTGACCAAGTCAGCATGCAGCTAGAAGCTCTTCATATTTCTCACTACGTTGATGCTCAAGCTCTTTTCTCGATCTTTAGTTCCGGCAATTCTAGCTCGCCGCTAGCTTGGCCGAATTTAAGACGTCTGTCTATAACACTTTACGGATTCCGAAATTTCAGCTTTCCTGACCGGAGTCAAGACCCCCTGCTATGGACAGCTTGCGCCGCTCTTGAAATGCTAAGACTTCAAAGGCTGGATGTCTGGTTCCCAAAGATCAATCATCGTCATGGCCGCTACTTCCGCTACTGGGTCGAAGGAGGACGGGCCCATGTTCTATGGGATATGGGCTTTCGCGCTGGAATGCGTCAATATCTTTTCAGCGCATGGGATGCAGTAGCCAGGTTTCACACCTCACACCCATTGGATCCCAACATCCGCACGATGAATTCTGCTGAAGCAGGCGACGAAGACCCGCTCCAAGCGTCGCTGTCGTTCTTTGAGCCATATGTGCCCTCTGCGAAGCAGCTACGGAGGGCCCAGGTACCTTAACGACCGGATTTAGGTTTCCTTTAGCTTCCACGAAAGCATGCTCATGTGAGGCCTAGCTGGTGCTGGGTGTCAGTATAAACACCACACCAACCCCAATGTTGGGATCGTTCCGAGAGAGGGAGCACGCGCATCTCAGCCCCGGAACGAAGCATACACCTCCTCACACCCCTCATCAACACCATCCACCCCGACCTCTTCAACAATCTCCCCCTCTCCAATCTTCATCACCTTCCCGCTCGCAGCTCCCTCCCAGGCCCCCTCCAAGCCCGCTTCGCTATCCCCCGCAGATCGAACCCACAGCTCTTCCATCTTCCTGCCAACCTGTCCCTCGAACTCCGTATCCTGCCCCCTAAGCTCCCTGCTCGTCCCAAACACCAGCGGCAGCTCTGCACAATGATATGCTCCCAACTTCGGCTCCGGCGACACATTGCTGAAATTACCGCGATACTGGTTTGAGATTCCCAGTGGCGGCGGGTCATGAACGATACGTCGTGGATATGAATGCTGATTGTCAATTCAAGAGACATTTTCTTCCCATCCTGTGGTTGACAATACTCCTGAAGGAAGTTTAAATGGGATAGCTGCATCGTTTCTTAGCGCTTGACAAGTACACTTCATCTTGGAAGCCCTATGAAACGGGGTTTCTGCTGGAGTGAATGCTGCTCCATGTTCTTTAATACAATAGATGCGCCACGCATGAGGCCCAGCCGTTTGCAAAGTTTCAACATCATAGTCTCCTTCGTTTCATGGTACTATTTCCTTTGTGCCTTTGCTTTCCCGCCAATGTTGATGCTTCATATCTCCCGCTGACTCTATACCGATGCTTGCACCTCCGAGATGGTTGAATTAGGCCTTGCCCCAGAGACCAGCCTTGTCCGTAGTCTTGATGGTGAAGGCGAAAAGACCGCCAGCAACGGTAATCGCACCGCTGAACATAGAGACCGCAAAGAAGTTGCCCGTAGCTCCGACGATTGCACCGTTGATAGGAGGTCCGATCAGGGCACCGACACCCGCCACAGCCATACCCATACCCATGTACGTTCCCACCTCGCTAGGATCGGGAGCACACCGGGACAGCGATGCAGCAGCGCCAGACATGATGGTTCCCGAGCCCAGGCCGAAGAAAACGGCGTACACAATGATGCCGGCATTATCAGTGGCAGATGTCATACAGAAAACAATGACACCGGTGGCGATAGAGCCAATGGAAAAGGTGTTCAGGTTGCCATACTTGTCTGCCAAGATACCCGGAACAATACGGCCGAAAGTCGAGGTAGCATTAATGATGCCGATGAGATAACCGGCGAGTGCGGCGCCCATACCCTTGGAGACGGCGTAGGTAGGGAGGTAGAAGTTGGGTGTGAACATACCCACGAAGATGGTGAAAAGCGCGACGGTGAACATGAGGAAACGGGTCTGCTTCCAGGGGTCGAGTAAGAAGAGCTTGGTCTTTCGGGGCGGCACGCGAGGCTTGACGGAGATGACGGCAAAGGTCATAAAGAAGAGGACAATAAAGCCGACGATGCGCACAGACCAGCCGAAGCTGATGGGCGAGTTGTTGAACAACTTTGACAGGATGATGGGCATGACGACGCCGCCGACAGATGAGCCAGCAACCGCAAGACCAAGCGCAGCGGCCCGCTTCTTATCGAAATACTGGGCGACAGCGGCGAAGGCGGGAATTTGGAGGAAGCCTTGGACGAGTCCCATGAGAATGCCTTGGACCAGCATGAAATGCCAGTACTTGGAACAGAGGGAAAGCATCATAATAGCGAAGACATAGAGGACGGCGGCGGGGTACATGATCTGGCAGATGGTGTTAGTATCAATTCAGATTGAGGTTTCCGCAGCATACGAGAAGGGAGATATCCTTACCAAAGCGCCATGACGATCGAACAACGGCCCCGCGAGCATGCCGGTGAAGAACTGGAGGAAAGACTGCGTGGAACCGATCCAAGAGATGTTGGAAGCGGACTGGCCCTGCAACTGATGCGTCATGTAATATTCTTGGAAGATACCGAATGAGTTGGAAAGACCAAGAGTGCAGAAAAAGATTGTCGCAGAGCCAGCAGCAACCATCCAAGCGCGGAAACCACCATCGGGAGCTGCGTTTGGGTCATTTGTGGCTTTCTCGTTGTCGTGATTGAGAAAGTTGGTGGAGTGAGCACTGTCGTGCTCGCCGGTAGAAGAGTGTGGAGCTGCGTGGCCGTCGAGCTCGCTGGGCAAGCCCGCTCTTGAAGTCTTCTCGGGCGACATTATCGGATTTTGCCAGGTGTAAGATGGAAGAGAGCCGATTTCCTGCTTCGTAACTTTGTGGCCGTTGCCGTGGTGTTTTTGTTTTTATTGATGTCGCAATTTTATCGTTTGTTATTTGATTCGTGATACGGATGGCTTTTCATTCAGACTTGAGAGCACGAAGGAAGACCCAATATATAAAACTGCAGACGGCGGCCCCGTCTTGTGAACACCCCGTGGACGGACTCGGACTCGGCGTCCGGACTCGGGATCTCAGTCGGGAAATTCGTTCAAAAGTCGGCTAAGCCGAAGATGTCCCTCTGCCGCAAAGGTCGGTGGATCACGGTAATTTGCCTGATTGGTGAAGTTCCTTCGGAAATGGGGTCAGTCCAACATATTCCCGTGTCCACCGCGCGCCGAGGGTCATCAGATGGCAATCTTGTCCTTGTTTTCGGAATTCTCCCTCAATGTTGTCTCACAACCTCGACATCGGTCGGCTTTCTAGGTCCACTTTCCCCCTCGAGTCTGTCAGATCCGTCCATTCGAGGAGTTTTCGTCTCATAAGGGTATCACTAACGAATTCGGACGACTGCTTCGAATGTTTTAGTACCAAATTTTATCTTCAGATCATTCTGGTTTCTATTCCATCAACTGTTGAAGGACACATTTACGAACTCACGGCCACCCAAGTCATTTGAACACAGCACAGAAAACGTGAGTCAACTTTTATGGCAACTGCAGACTTCACGCCAAAGATCGTTATTTTTCCCCCAGTCCTGCTATTGACTAACAAATCCCGATGCAGTGCAACGAGACTACTCAGCCATGCAAGGTCCCATAGTTGACTGTCAGGCACGGCGCCGAAGCCGTCGGCCGGCTACATCATGTACCCTCTGCCATAAGCGCAAGATCCGATGCAATCGTGCTAGGCCGTGCTCTAATTGTCTCCGGTCCAAGACTGGGGCCAGCGGATGTGCGTACGAGAATGACGCCCCCAACCAGTCTCAGGTACCACCTTCAGTGTCTTCGAGCGACCAGACGCAGCATGCGCCAGATCAAGCGGCGCAGCCGCAATCTCAGTATTTGACACCGTCGAGCAGCGGTATATCCAGACAGACATCGACCGGCTTTCCGTCAATGTCAGGCTCATTAGCCGCCAATAGCTGGACACAGCCGCCGAACCCAGCCAGTGCCAGTGGCCAATCCTGTCATGGCACGGAAGCGCTCAGGCTGCAGCTCAGAATACAGCAGCTGGAGAGTCAACTATCAAACCAATCTCAGTCCATTCCTCGTCGTTCTCCAGTCACTTCATCGTCCCCAGCTGTATCATCGTCTCCGGCACCTGCTACAGTCCGCGCGTCCGCGATGGATGCGGATGTGGAGATCATCAGCTCACAACTTGGAGGCACATTTCACATTCATTCGACCAGAGACACCTTCCTGGGCCAAGATCAACCCCTGATAGCGAATGGCCTTAGTTTCAAGACGCGCTTGCTTGGACAAAGTCACTGGGCAGTTAGCACTGCACATTTGGCAAGACCTCATCAAATCTCACGCGGCTGTGTGTCAGTCACCCATGGCATATACTGACCGTTGACGCAGATTCGTGACATTTTGAGCACTCTCGGACAGTATGAAGGCACACCCGATACGAATTGGGCCGGTATAGGAAGATGCAAGTCCTTGGCTCGGTACATCAAAGCCCGACGAACACCAGCGTGGCCGCCGCCGCCGAACTCGAAACTCCCTAGCAAAGAGGTTGCCGACGCTCTGCTCGACAATTATCTCCGCACAACTGAGTCCATATACCGTATTCTTCATCTGCCCACCTTCCGGCGGCAATATGAAGCGCTCTGGGTCAATGACACAGTCCCCGACCCCGGCTTTCTCGTACAGTTGAAACTGGTCCTTGCCATTGGCGCCGTCACATACGATGACGAATTTTCACTTCGAACGTCGGCGATTCTTTGGGTATATGAGGCCCAAGTCTGGTTGGCCGAGCCTAATTTCAAGGTTCGCTTGAACATCCAATTCTTACAAACCAACCTCCTCCTCCTTTTCGCCCAGGAACGTGTTGGTGTTGCGGGTGACTCTGCATGGGTTCTCTCTGGCACCATACTGCGCAAGGCGATGCACATGGGATTGCATCGCGACCCCAACCACCTCCCTGGCCGTTCCGCTTACGAGGCCGAGATGCGGCGGCGTCTCTGGAACACTGTGCTGGAGGTGGACCTCCAAGCTAGTCTAAGCTCCGGCGGAGCGCCGCTCATATCCATGTCCGATTTTGACACCGCGCCCCCTGGTAACTTTGACGAAGAGCAGCTAGAAGCCGATGGGCCAACTCCTAGGCCGCCGAGTGCATTTACGCAGGTTTCGGTTGCGATCGCCCTGCGCCAGACCTTCCCGCAACGTCTCGCAGTAGTGAACTTTCTTAACGGTCTCCGTGTGTCACCAGGAACGTATGAGGATACCCTACGTATCGACACTGAACTGCGAGAGGCGTTCAAGGGATTGAGTCGAATCTTGCGCACAGCCTTCAGCAGCTCCTCTTCAAAAGCTCAAAATGCCAAGTCCGAGGTCCAGCTTGTCGACTTCCACATGCAGCGCTACCTCATATCCCTGCACGCGCCATACTTCGGTCCCGCACACGGTACGGCATACACATACTCACAAAAGACCGTGGTCGAGTCTTCACTCCGTATCTGGCGTGCTGCGTGCCCGCCTCCGGCTCTCGCCTCCAATGGTCTCCAAAACCCGGGCGTTGGCGAGACCGAGTCAGACCTGCCTCGCTTGGCGTCGTGCAGCTCCGGATTTTATCAGACTGCCACTTTCCACGCCGCGCTCTTGATCGCCCTCGATTTGCGCTCCCAGCTTCAGGAAGAGGAAGAGTACAGCCTTCTTGGTCCCACGCCTCTGCGGCCGGACCTTATGTCTGTGATGGAAGAGGCGCGCATGTGGTGTTTGCGGGTCATCGAGGCCGGAGAGACAAACGTGAAGGGATACTTGCTTATGAATCTGGTAGCAGCACAGATAAGGAGCATGGTGGGATTGATGAAGAAGGATGAGGTTGCTGGCGAGTTGATCAAAGCTGTGAAGGGTGTGGAGGAGAAGTGTCTGCCAATTCTGGAACGTATGGCGGAAGAAGTAGGGATGGATGCCGCTGGCGCGGAGACTATTGATGCCATACTGGGACAGCTGCCAGAACCTATGGAGTTGTGGCAAGGGATGGAGGATTGGGTCTTCAACGACGATACGAAATCTGGAGATTTCGTGTTTTAAAGTTGGGCTTGCATGCAGAGACCATAATTGACAACAGTCAAACGGTTTCAATGATTAGAATTCAGCCCTCGTCATTCAGAAATTCCTCTGCCGAGTGTTTGGGCTCATGTGCTCTTTTTCTTCTGGCTAATTATGCGCATTTGTGAATGGGAAGGTCATCGTTTCTAGACGGAAATGATCAAGCGACCAAGACATGTGTGTACCAACACTGGTTCAGCCCACTGACCCGTCTATCGTCTCCAAGCTTGATCCGCAAAATACACGTACAAACATACTGACCATCGTGGTCCCAATCAACAAGACTTTGAGAAGGAAATAAGGCGTTTGAGTTTCAGTCTCTTAACCAAGTCCATTACAATGATGGGGCATGCGAGCAATAATTAGGTTCCAACTTGACATTTTGACATTATGCGCGGATGGTTTCCTCGGCGGTCGTGTGCTTCAAACCCTCTTGCAAACGCCCGCAGTTCAGACCGTGAACTGCATCGCTCTCGAAGACGACCAACAGGGCAATGGTAGCAGTCACGGCGATATCCGTAAGGCCATCGAAGCCAACCCAAGTAAGACGGTCAACACTTTCGGTGGGAGTCTTGCAGACTCACCTCGGCCTCACCCCTTCCGAGGCATCTTGCCTCGGGGATACAGCTGATATCATCATCCATGCCGGCTCCAGTGGACATTGTCTGAACAACTACGCTGCCCTCAAGGCCCCAAATGTCTCTGCTACGCATCGTCTCGCCGCGCTGGCACTCCCTCGCTCTGTGCCATTGCTCTTCGTCTCTAGCAACCGAGTCCCGTTACTCGCCGGCAACACAGAGCAAGTGCCCTGTTCCATGGCAAAGTGGATGCCCGCTGGCGACGGAAGAGAGGGACTTACCGCGACGAAGTGGGTTGGCGAAGTCTTTCTGGAGAGTCTGAACAAGCTTGTCACCAACCAGACTGACAAGGCCTGGGCTATCGAGGTCCATCGCCCCTGCATCGTCGTCGGCGACCAGGCGCCCAACTCCGACAGCATGAACGCTATATTGCGATACTCGCTGCAAATGAGGTGTGCGCCTCTCGTGACCAGGGGCCGGGGATACATTGACTTCAAATCTGTAGATGATGTTGCCACGGGTGTTGTTGAGTCAGCCCTGATTATGGCTCAACGCAGGACTGGAGGCGTGTCATTCAAGCATCACTCCAGCGGAGTCAAAGTACCTGTTGACAAGTTCAGAGAGCATTTGGAGCAGGAGTATGAGGGGAAATTCGAGCCTGTTGAGATGAAGGATTGGGTTGCTAAGGCTGGTAAGGCTGGGATTGATCCTTTGATCACGGCTTACTTGAACGGAATCTTGGAGTCGGATGAGGAGATGGTGTTTCCTTACCTGGGAGCTTGAGAGCTTCTTGTCTGAAATTGATGTTTTACTCTATGTATTGTGTCGCCAGGCACTTAATATTTGCTTTGTTCTGGATGTTTCCTTTTTATAGATTAAGATTCTGCAATTGCAAATCATACCAAGGCTACTAAGCAGCTACTGCCCCCTCTTCTTCTAGAACCTTACTATCTCTATTAACCTAAGGACCTACTCATTCTAACATAGCTACCTTTTGTGTTAGTATTTAAGCTATTAGTGTTGGACAACCCGGTTTGTCATGCAACTGTAGAAGCCAGACAATCAGAAAGACATAACGAGACTTATATGGCAATTCCTCTAGAAGTCCTCAGTTGCAAAAGCTCGTAAGTACGAGCTTCTCATCACCACGGTCAACCGTCATCACCACGGTCAACCGTCATCACACGGCCCCGGCGGCGCCCGGCGGCTTCAACGTCGAAGAGCGGGGCTCGGAATGGCGGCTCCGCCGAAACCACCGGAGCGAACCGAGTCGTGAACCCCACATGTCGCAACGTGCCGCTAGCCTAGCTGGGTAAAAGTAAGAGGCGCCTCGATTTCAAGAATAAGACGCAATATGTCGGTCGGAACGGTGGTGAAGTTTATACAATAAGCCTTCAGCATCGATCCCAAGGCGGCGGCCTGAGTGGATCTTGGATCGTCAATGTCGGCGTTCCGGCGATGCCGGGTTGCCAGATCTAGTTTACATACCACAGCTGCGTCCCCAGAATCTGTGACGAGAAAGTAGGTCTCTTAATAACAGGAACTGTGAGAAAATAACGATTCTATCAAGCGAAATCAAGTCAAAACTCCGATACCCCCAGGCCCGGAAGACCGCCTCCAAAACACTCCCTCAAGGCGTTCCATCGTTCGGATTGGGGAACCTGCTCACAAACTTGGGCGTCTCCGGCGACTCCAGCCCATTGCCCTTCGGATCACAATATTCTCCCGCATGGTTATTCGTAAACAGTGCATGCCTGCGCTCCTCCATCATCTCGGCCTCGCGCACCAAGTCCTCGGTCAGCGTACCTGTCAGCGCATACGGCGCCGCGAATAAGTTGACCGACGCGGGGTGCGATGGAGCCAGAGTGCTGGAGCCGGTGTGCTCGACGCCGGCCATAGGCGCGAAGCCTGCGGTTTTGATGGCAAATATGTCTGCGGTGGGCAGCTTGGGGGTATGGGAGTCAATGGTCGAAATACCGAAAACTGCTGGCTTTCCTTGCGCCTGGTGGTTGTTGGAGATTGTGCTGGGATGATTCTGCGGCATCACACTGGCGCGTCTCCTCCCAGACTGCGCCTTCTTTGAGTCGTGTATCGTGAAGCCAGACTTTCTCGCAGCTGCAGCTGTCGAAGCCTTGACTAGCATCGGTTTCTCAAGACTAGGCGGGTTGTACTTCACCCTCTTGATCGGCCTCTCGCCCACGTCAGGCACCTTAGAGTCCAGTGCCTCGTCCGAGGCCTCGTGCAGAACACCGCCAAAGATGTCCTTGATCCTGCTCACCGCTCCCCGCAGCATGTAATCGACGTCCCGCTTCAGACTATCCGCATTGATCGTGTTGATTGCCTGCTTGGTGTGACTCGTCGCATTCTGAATCGTGCACACATAGTTCTGCACCGCCTCAAACTCCTTCGCCGGCAACAGCTCAATCTCCCTCCGCGCAAAGGTGAACAACCGCGCCGAAGACGGACGGTGCGCAATATGGATGTTGGGAATAAGCGGGAGGAGCAGCGCCCAGTTCTCCAGCTTGATCCGCGTGATCTCCCCAGACCACCCGAACAAGTACTTGGTCGTCTCGAATCCCCGTTCGAACATGGGCCTGAACTCCTCCGCAATACCCGGGTACATTCGCGTGGCTTGCGGCTGGTTGACCAGGGTGATGATCTCCTCGTGGAGACTGGCCAATGTTTGGGCCCGAGCTTTCAGGGTCCGAATCACCGGCTGTACCGTGAACCTGATCCGATCCTCGTCGCCGAGGTTGAAGATGTCCAGGTACAAGCCCATGATGGTGTGCAGTTCGTACTGAAGCTCTCCGAAATACGTCCGTAAAAGCTCGGCGAGTCTCCGGCCGGCACCCTGCGCCACGGTGCCGATGTTTTCCCAGAATGTGTCTGCGTTGGCGAGGTTCAGCGACGGTGCCGGCAATTTCAGCTTGCGACCTTGCATGCGTTTGCTGAACCGGGCCAACGTGTTCTGGTACCCCAACAGGGCCTCGTCCTTCCATTTCTGGAGCTCCTGATGCGTCATATTCACGAGGTTCCGTCGGTAAGTCGCCCCGATCACAGCCTCGATAACAATGATGTTAGCCTGCGCGCCCGTGTTGAGGAGCAACCACTGTCTCTCTTTCCAGCTGAGGTAGTCCACCTGCCACTTGGCCTTCGCGCATGCCAGGTTCAGATGCTCCTGGGTCAGGGACATCAGGAACTCGTACACCAAAGGATTTGTCTTGAGCAGGTCATCAGGCCATTCGTTCCACAAATCCCACTGCTTCGGCAGTAGGTCTGCGTCTTCGAAGGTTGGCATCGTCCGGTCAGGGGGCGGAAGGATCCTGGTGGGCATGTCTGTGTTGAGGCGCATTGCGGCAGATCCAAAGCGCGGGATCTCGGTGGTCCACCACTCTTCGGTGAAGAAGCGGAGCACCTGGGCTACTGATATGAACGTCGCGTACTGGTTCGAAACAAGAACCGGGGTTTTGAGGATCGCGTCGCTGGGGTCTTTGCGTGTTTCGTCGTCGCCGGGAGGGTCTTGGTGTAACGCCCGCGGCCAGCGATACAGAGTGAGACCGCAAGCCGTAGAGTACAGATGTTTGGGGTGGACATGTGAACTCCTGCCGATCAAAGGCCAGGCAGTACCTCCATATAGCTTCAAGGTTGTTAACAAAACAGTGGAAGGAATCCCTAGGGAGGCGTCTTACGTGATTCTCCAACGAGAAGCCCACTTCGCATCTCTGCTCTTGCTCGAAGAACGGCTCCGGGGTTCTTTGATGAGCGAAAAGAAGTTTTCCTATGGAGGCAATCGAATTTTCCACGGCAGGATGGCCAGATATAATCGGCAGGGTAGAAGGCCCAGGCGAATGCATCCAGTTCCTGTGGGCATAGGTCACAGCGTGCTGTGACGTGTTAGCTAGCTGCATCATCACGAGGCTTCCTGCGAGGCTTACTGCAATCTCATGAACCAAGGTAGTCGCAACACGAAAGGAAAACACAAGTCGTTCATCCGTAGTGTACCCCTGCACAAGCAACGGATAAATGTCGTCGGCGCCGAGACATGTGCGAATCGTCCCATCGTCTTCGGCAAACGTGATGCCGTTCAGGGGCTGCCCTTCTGCTTCATTCTCAGTGTGGAATGTGCTTGTGATGTTCAACACCAGCCAGTCGTTGAGGACGTTCGCGGTGGTTTCGATAGGATCCAGGAGCTGGTAGTACTCTGGCGGGATGAAGGGCTGGCCACCGGGGGGCAGGGGGTCAGGTTTCTTGGAGAAAGTAAACAGCGGCCACCGGTCTCTCTGATCTTGCGGACGATCGTCGCGTGACTCTGGAACAGGCATTCTGTTCCAGACATCGCAAAGCGCTTTCCAAAAAGGATCGTGTCCTTCGAGGTAGAACAGCATTCGAGACGCCAGTACCAAG